CCTTCAGCTTCGGCGCGCAGCCCGCGGCCACGGCCGCCCCCGCCGCCTTCTCGCTGGGGTGAGTCCCCGGAGCTGCTCCCTTGGTGGAAGCTGGGGGTTCTGCTGCTTCCTCTGGAATAGGAGCCTAGGCTGTTTGAACTGAGAAAAAGAAAAGAGTTTGTTGTCTTGTTTATAATGTATGTATATTAGGTCTTGATGTCTCCAGTGTTGCAGGCAAAGCTTGGGGTATTCAGCATCTTTCTTTACTCAAGCAAGACCATTCTTTTGTGTCAAGAGGCTATGAACTTTGGAATGGGAATGTATAGAATGATTTCTCCTTTCTGAGGTAGAGTAAAAATGTGATGAAACATCCCAGGGCAATCCTGGTTCTGCCTAGGCAGGTGCTTTTTAGGTAATGCTGATAGAAGTGGAATGAAGGGTAGCAAGAACCTGGATCTTACTGATAGCAATGAGAAGAGGTGTTGGGTGGGTGTGAAGAGGGGCTTGGCTTTGTGTCACTTGCCTTGTGGCTGAGAAGGGACTGGAGAGACAATATTCTGTGTCAAAGATGAGCTGTAGTTAGTGTGAGAGATGAACCTGACATGTGTCTCTGGAGTTAGGATTTTTGCTGTCAGCAAACACTGTGGAAGAAAGCTGTCTCCTAGTCCTGGGATGTCACAAACAATTTTCTTTCTTTTTCCTAGGGGGAATGCGCCCAAGCTAAACTTGGGAGGCAGCAGCACAGCCCCAGCTACGGGCATTACAGGAGGCTTTGGGTTTGGCTCTGCCCCAGCTAGTGCACCCTCGAGTCAAGCAGCAGCCCCGTCCGGCTTCATATTCGCCACCGCCGGGGCAGCCGCGCAGCCAGCGGCCGCCTTCAGCCTCGGCGCGCAGAGCACGGGTGGGTGATGAGGCTCTGCTGGGAGGCGCTTGAGGGGGTTTGAGGGCTCCTACGTGAGAGGTTCAGAAGCCAAGGCTTAGATATTTCTGCCACTGTGAGCAGAAGGGTTGGAGTTGCGTTTGGAGTGCTTAGAGGATGTTTTTGGTGGGTCTGGTGGGGAGGATGGAGGTGGGGTTGGGAGTTGAAGGGGAGCTCCCTGTCCAGGATGCTGAACTGCTGCTGAAGCCAGGCCACAAACCTGTCTGTGTCCTCAGAGTCCAGCAAAAACTCAGGCTGCAGCCTTCAGTTTGTGCTGGGGGTAGTGCAGGTCTCAGGAATTTCCTCAGCGAGGGCTAAAATTGGATTTGTTCTTACTCTGTGGGTCCATTAGAAATGTTATTTAAGATTTTACACATCAGAAATAACTTGCTCATGTGTGGGTGTTTTTCTTTTAAACTTCTGCTACTTGTTCCAGGTCTAAACTTTGGATCATTGACTTCAACAACAGCTACAAGTGCACCCCCAGGAACACTGACCACTGGTATGAGCCAGGCACCCACGCTGTCATTTGGAGCCAAACTTGGAGGTAGGAGGTGATTGAGAAAATAGAGATTCAAAGAATAGAGAATCCCCTTCTCAACTTAATGTCTCTGCTGGAGTCTGGAATTGGGTCACGTGTATTTGTTAGTGTGAAATTACAATGGCATGAGTAATCTGTTGAAGTTCACTGAACTTTCTCAGTAAATATACCAGGTCTTGTGCTGTCCTGTGTGCAGGGTTGTGTTCTGCAGTGTGTTTTAGGGCACTTTTGCAACTGAAACACAAGTAATTGCAAAGGTTACAAAGGGGAAGAGGACGAGTACAGGAGAAAGTTCAGGATTCTCTTCCTTCAAAAACTGCCATGTTGTGAAAGATTCATAGCTTCTCAGCTTGGCTATTCTGAAGTGTTAGAATTTGCCAAATACCTGCTTGTTTGAAACTCTACTGTTTGGTTTCTAGCAACGTCCACAGCTTCTACAACTGCTACTACCACCACAACTTCCCTTCTTGGTTCATCTGGGCCTACATTGTTTGCATCTATAGCAAGTTCCTCAGCACCAACCTCATCCACCACCACAAGCCTCTCACGTAAGTCACAAAATACAGAATTTATATATTGGAAGAAAATATGGTGAGAATGCTTGGTGGCATCTGTCAGTAATGAAGCTTGAGATCCTCTTGTAGCACTTGTTTCATGGCAAACTTTCTTTGGTTGTGAATTATAGAAAGTTTTGTCCAAAAGAAGCACATTTAATTTCAGAGTGGGCAGGCAGAGTGGCAACTGCAGCTTATGTGACTTTTTTTTTTTTGAGAGAGAGAAATTATCACCACAGTTGAGCTTTATATCTAGGTATGTGTTGGACAGTGCTATGAGTGGCTGCATCTGACATTAATGTTAAATTTGACCCTTAAGTTAGGTGTTCACACATGGGGTACTCAATTCTTGTTTTCTGTTTACAGTTGGTGCCCCTTCCACTAGTACAGGCACTCTTGGAACTCTTGGATTTGGATTGAAAGTTCCTGGAACGACAGCTGCAGCAACAAGCACCGTGACTAGTAAGAATTAAATGCAGTAAAAAAAAAAAAACACCGACATCAGGGCTCTGCAGTAGAAAAGGGCCATGCTGATGTTGCAGTACAGAAAAAAAAAAAAAAGGCTGGGGGGAGACTGGGGAAGAAATTAGAAATTCTTCTGCAAAATGCACTGTACCTGCAATTGTGCAAGGTAGGAACTGGGTGCAGTTACTAGAGCTAGTATTAAAATACCTGCAGACTGAGGCACGTGTGGTTTTTGCTATTTTGTTTTATTTTTTTTACTTTGAATGATGCCCATAAATGTAGGCTGTCAATTGTGCTTTCTACTGTAATGCTTACAGGTATTTATAATGCACTGCTATCAGTAATGTCAAAATATGCATTCTGTGTACATCTCAAACGACGTTCCCTTGTTAAAAGGGCCCTTTTGACATTATGCGGCATTGGGGTTAGAATTGTAAATAGAATCTGTTCTGGTTCTATTAGATGTGACCTTTGGTTGTTTAACATGAGTCTTTTCTTTCAGGCTCTTCTGCTCCTAGTGTAAGTTTTGCTTTGAATCTTAAGCCATTAACTACCACTGGAACCATTGGAGCTGTGACTTCTACAGCTACTGTAACCACAGCAACAACCAGGTGAGTGGGATTTTTGGTTTGAGCAATAGCAATATTACTGTTGGTGTCTGGAGGAAGGGGAGGTGAGTGGGTGCTGTTAGTTACGCTTACACCTTGATTTTTGATCTTGTACCCCTGTACTGGCTCATGCTTCTCAGTGCACCTCCAGTGATGACGTATGCCCAGCTGGAGAGCTTGATAAACAAGTGGAGTCTGGAACTTGAAGATCAAGAGAAGCACTTCCTTCATCAAGCTACTCAAGTTAATGCCTGGGATCGGACATTGATAGAGAATGGAGAGAAGGTAAGGTGGCATCTAGTGCAACCTAATTTTGTTTAATTTTTAAAAGATATTAAGTTATAGATGCAGCAAGCCATCTAGTAGATTATCTTTTGTCTTAAAGATGACAATTAAATATGGATACTTAGACAGACATAAGTCTTTTTTTAATTAGAAATATGTATGGAGTTATGTGAACAAGCTACCTTAGAGCTGAACTTTCAAGGAAAGTGGGGTAAGTGAAAAAGTTTTATTAAATATTTTCTGGTCTACAAATATGTTTATTTCCTGTCTGTGATAATTATTTGCACAGAACTACTTTTCTCAGTTTTTCCACTTTTTGCCAGATGATCTCGCATCTTCCTACAATTAAATTTGTTCTGTTTCTAGATTACATCATTACACAGAGAAGTAGAGAAAGTGAAACTTGATCAGAAGAGGTAAGAAGCTATGAGCCCTGGAGATGGCTTTATTTGCATGTTCTGTGGTTTTGTGCAGAAGTCCTAGAATGTATTCCATGTCTGGACCCAATCTGTGGGTAATACTACTTTTCCTTTCAGGCTGGATCAGGAACTAGACTTTATTTTGTCACAACAGAAAGAGCTGGAAGACTTGTTGACCCCTCTGGAGGAGTCTGTGAAGGAACAGAGTGGGACTATTTACTTGCAGCATGCAGATGAAGAAAGGGAAAGAACGTAAGATAAATCTGTGTTGAACGTGTGATAAGCAGGCTAGTGTAGTGATGTCCAGTCAGAAGTAGGATAGCAAGCATGACAGTATTGAACTATTGATATCCTCTTTAAAATGTGTAACCCTGTTTTATGCATCACATTTTGGACCTTAAAAATAGGGAAATTGCAACTGAAAGCCCCTTTAATCGACATGAAAAACTTCATGGATGTGGGTCTAAGTAGCTGTTTTGGAAAAGGCTATTAGAATTGGCAAAACTTGCTTTTAAAAAGTGATTAATGACAGAATTAATATGAGCAGAAAGCACTTTGTGCAGCTCAAGTATCCTTGTAAACATGGTACCAGTACTGAATCTTAGCAGGTTAAAGTATTCAGTTCAAGAGGCATGAATCTTGGAACAGTCTTGTCTAGCTGGTTACTTTAATTCTGGTGTTAAGCTTCTAGAAAGCCGTCAGCAGTATTGCATATCTGTAACCATAGATTATTGCAAGAGCTAAGATATTAGGTGTTACCTCAAATGTGTAATAAAATGCCTCTTCATGATGCAGTCCCCATGTATCTACTGTGTCTTGGTTGGAAAGCATGGGGCCTAATTCTGGTCACCTGAAGATGCTACAACTGAGAGCAGGTCTTCTGAGGCTCGCTGTGAAGACTTTGATGTTGCTTCTCCATTGTTTTGCAGATATAAACTGGCCGAAAACATAGATGCTCAGTTAAAGCGTATGGCACAAGATCTTAAGGACATAATCGAGCACCTGAATACATCAGGAGGCCCAGCAGACACTAGTGACCCAGTAAGTCCAAACTTCGTTTTCATGTCAGTATAGACAGGAGCTTTTCCTTTGTAACTCTTCACTTATTCATTTGTGGGTATTCTGCTGCTTGTGTCTCCAACCTTGGAAGAGTATTTTGTTTTGTTCCTGAGACCACTTGCTTCTAGCAAGAAGCATGCAAGCCAGCCTGTCTGTCATAAGATTGACATTCTCTAAAATTTTAAATTCCAAAGCATTCTAGCCTGAACTCCATTTGTCATTCTTGTTGACTTCTTGCCTAGGTTGCAACTTGTCTCAGAGGTAGGTCAGAGTTTTGATCTTGCTGCCTTCTCTGCCGCTTGCATCTTTCTTGTGCAAATCTAAGTTCTGTACAAATGCACTTTTTTTTTACTTCTAGTACACTTGTGTCCCAAAGAAAATAAGATCTGAATTATGTACTCATCATGTTTTTACTGATAAATTTTCTTTTTCCTGGTTTAAAAAAAAAAAAAAACTCCTTCTGAAGAGAGCATTGCAGATTTTTCCCCATTCAGTTTCATTCTTGCCACCTAATATGATTAAATGTGATGCATTTGAGGTCTGAATTTGAGTGAGACCAAGCCAGAGTGATATATGGCAAACAAATCTGTCTTGCCGGACAAGAAGCAATATAACATAGTTGCTGCAAAGACTTTAAGAAAATAACTGTTAGTAAAGCTGTGCATATGAGAAATTCAATAGTTTTGAGTTTTAAAGTACAGGAACTGTCTATCTCTTGCTGCTCTTGGTTTTTGTGTACTCTAATATTTGCACCTTTTGTTTTTAGCTTCAGCAGATCTGTAAAATTTTGAATGCGCATATGGATTCTTTGCAGTGGATTGACCAGAATTCAGGTGAGTTTCGTGCAACTGTTTAGGAATAAAAATATGAAGTATGTTAAGTGTGCATGCATGTGCAGAAAGGTAATGCAGACCAGAAGCTGCACTTCATAGTGAGAAATTGAGTGTAGTTGCTGCCTTATCCTTGGATTTGCTAGCATACCAGGGTGCTTCCAGAGCTCAGCACTTGTACAACAAAATTTTGATGCCTTTTGCTTAAAAGGAGCCTCCTCCTTTGGAGATCTTCAAAACTCACCTGGATGCCACCCTGTGCCATGTGCTCTAGGTGTCCCTGCTTGAGCAGGGGGGTGGGACTGGATGATCTCTGGAGGTCCCTTCCAATCTCAACCATTCAGTGATTCTGTGACTTTGAGGGTGTGTGTTTGTTTATTTTAATTGATGGTATTGGCCACAGGGGGGCATTGCTGACTAAAGTAGTGGAGCTCTCACCAGCACTGAATTGCAGCCACCTGGTTGCAGTACTGTCCAAAGTGCTCCCATCAGTGCAGTCAGTCCTGGATGGAAGCAGGCACTTTTCCAGTGGTTTTAATTTGATAATGTTGGCTTATGCCAATACTAAATGTGGTGTTTTCTAGAAGATTTGTGACTTCTGTATGTATGAATTCTATCTTATCTTAGTAAGTATTGGTATATCTCATCTATCATCAGACTGCTGACTCTAATTACAGAATAAACTTGAAAATAGCTATCTTTACAGGTTAACTTTTTGAAAAAGCCCTTCAAACAAGGAAAAGCAATAAACCTTAAACTGCATATTTTTGAAAATGATTAATGTGACTGTCTATAGAATTATTGGCAAGGAGAAGAATTCCTCTTTTTATATGCACTTGAATGTTAGATTGCAAAAGAACATGTGATATTGAAGTAACCAAATTAGCCCTTACTGTTAGTAATTTAAGAGTAGGCCTGGGAAGGATGCATTTCTAACAACTTTAAAAATGCAAGATATTTACCCTGTATGTAATGCTAAAAACTTTGTTTCCTGTCAGACGCCTCCAAGGCTGTGTTGCAAAAGTAAATGAGCTTTTCCTAAGCATACTTTTCTCTTTGGCTATTGATGTGCCTGGTTTTTAAGAATTATATGCAACTTAAGACTTGATGCTGGTTTATTTAGCTTCTCTTGTGCTGAGCCAATTAAATGTTCTTGCTGAACAGATGCATGAAGTTGCTCCCTTCATAGGGAGGTCCCTTCATGACCCCAGTAGAGGCAGTATTTGGATGAAGCCTTGTGCTTAGGTATTGCCTCAACCAGTTTCTTTCTTGATTTACCTGAGTGCTGAATTGAACAAGACTAGATATGTGCAGCAGATTTGTGTCTTGCTTGTGTGGTGAATCTTTGAAAATAGATAAACTGAGAGGTGAACGTGCTTCATATGTTACTGGAAAATTCCAGGATTGGCACAGGATTATGTCAAATTCCAGGATTGATAGAATAAAAATCTGGAATATCTCTAAATTGCAGAATGACATAATGTCATAGACCTAGTCAATAACATCTGAGAAGGTTCCATGAAATTGCTCTATCTTTTGCCAAAACTTTTGTTGCAATAGCAACAGTATTTAAAGTTAATAACTAAAGTAGTTGCCTGTATATTGCCACATCAGTGATCTGCAGGTAACAGGCCTGTAATGTGAGTGCAAGTGAGCTGCAGCTTTTTGGTATCATTGTACAGTTATATATTTACAGCTAAAAGCTTGTTACAATTGTGATATTTTGTGAGAAAGTATATAGATGTCTAACAGATTATAATTAACCTGAATCTTGCAAAATTCAAGTGTGAGATGGGTAGGGGAAAAGCCTGATACATCAATTTTTCTCAAGCTGAAGGCCAGCTACTGTTGCTATTCATGAAGGGTTTAGCTATCTAAAGCTGTATGCTGAAATCGCAAAAGCCTGAAACAGGCTGGGCAAAGTGTCACGGCATGTTCCAGGGATCTTCAGAATCTGCCTGCTAGTCCCTGAATGCCACAAAATACTTCTCGGAAAATCTTCTCTTGCGGGGGCATCTAGCAGTGTTTTGGTGTTTTCCTCTTTCTCTGTGCAGTGTCAAACCTGAGCAAATCAAGTATGTTTCCTTCTGCAGGCTGAACTCTGTAAGGCTGTATTTTATGCTGATGGGTCACTTCTCTTTCTTTCTTCTTTCAGCCCTGTTGCAGAGAAAGGTAGAAGAGGTGACAAAGGTTTGTGAGAGCCGCCGCAAGGAGCAAGAGCGCAGTTTTAGGATCACATTTGATTGAAAGACTCACTGGTGTTACGATATCGTATCTGAAGCTCTGTGGGGACTTGGGTTTAAAATCTCTTTGTATTTTTTTTATTTTAATAAAATTTGCTTTGGAATAAAAAATAAAGCTAATCTCTGCAGTATCACACTGGAATTTGGTGAGTCCAGTCTGAGAGACTGCATAAAGCTTGTGCTGAAAGTATGTGCTTTTGTTCTTAAATCTTTGTAAGCGCATGCAAAAATGTGTGTATTTGAGAGTGCTGCCTTTGGGAGATTTAAGCCCTCTGACTTCGCAGCTGAGCCCTCCACCTCCGTTTTGCTTAAATGCAGCCTCAATGGTCTCAGTCAGAGCCTCCTAGGCTTTTATTCAGGTTCTGGTGAGTTGCTTGTTAAACAGATGTTCCCTCCAGGAACTGTAGACAAATTTGCTGTCTGACAAATGTAGTGCCCTGTACTACAAGCTGGCGTATGTTTCAACTGGGTCTGCTTCCAGTGCTGCAAGGGGGGTTTTGTTCCTGTGTCTGTTTGGCTTTTTTTTTTTTTTTTGGGTAATAAACTGCTTTTGTACTTGTACCTTCAGCTGTTTCCGCAGCACCTTTCTTCAACCAGAATTTGTGATAAAAATACTAGATGTGCAAGTAAGAAAATAAGTAGGAAAATAACTTGTAAATGGGTGTGCAGCTTGTTTGATCAGAAGGGCACAGGAAAATGTATTGAATAGTGCCAAGCCTGTAAAGAGCTATGCTAATCTCATTGGATGTCTGTTTGGCATGTTATTTTGATTAAAATGTTATTTTGATCCACACTGCCCTCTCTTTTTACTAGTAGGGGAAAATAACTCTTTGTGTAATACTTGATTCAGCCCTGCCCTCTATGTAGGGTTTCATTTCTGCTGAAGGCTGTAAATAGCTACACCTCTCTAATGCATATATCCCTTTGCATATATCCTCGAAAGGAAGGGGAAGAGCCCCCCTCTCGGGATTCACGGCCGCTTCCACGGGCGGGCTCCCTTCTAGCACCCCTTCTCCCGTCGGGCCGCCCCGTTCCTCCCTGCCGGGGCGCGCGGCGCGGCTGCAGGCCGCTCGCCTCAGGAGGCGCGGGCCCTTGAGGAGGTGAGCGGCGCGGGCGGCCGCGATACCCGCGGTGCTGAGAGCCGCGTCCCGCGGCCCTTTCTGGAGGGGCGAGCGGAACTGCTGCCCGGCACCGGCGCTCTGACTCGCTCCGGGGCTGCTTTCCTAGCCCGCGGTGCTTCCCCGCAGCGCGGAAGGAGAGGCCCCGGCGTGAGGCGCGAGCTGCGGGTGGGACCCGCGGACAAGCGGGAGGCGGCGACTCTGTGGAGCCAGGTGTCCTTGGCGAGAGCAAACTGTGCTTCACCTGCGCTGCTGAGACACCCAGTTTCCCTTTTTGCCTATTTTTAATTACTTGAAACTAAGCAATAGTTAAATAATAAAAAACAGCCTTCTAGGAATAAAAACAACAAGGTTGTATGTGTAATTACCCTCTCTGAAGTATTCTTAATGTTCTCAAAATCTGTTTGTTTTTCTGGTTAATGTTGTTGGGCATGTTTGTTTGTTTTGTCAAGCCAATTTTGGTTCCTTGGGCACTTTAATCCCCATGAAAAGCATCAAGCAGGTGGGGAGACTCTTGGTACAGTGGATTGGGAGTGTTTCTTGCTCTTGCCACCTCCGTGTTGCGTGTGTGTTCCCCAGAGTCAACACCAGTCTGTCCAGCGATGACCTCCTCCTGGAAGACTTGGAGACAGAAGGAGAAAGGCAGCTGAAGAGCCTCCTTCACCACCAGCTTGATACCAGTGTCTCCATTGAGCAGTAAGTCCTGATGTGGCCAGCACAGCCTAGGGGCCTGGGGCCTCCTAACCGGGGAGATGTTTTATACAGTGAGCCCCACAAGCCAAAACAGCTGCACAGATTCTCCTTCCTTATAGCATCTCTTGCTGGTGAGGTGCAGGAGGTGAGCACTCTTGAACTTTTGGGACAAATGCCAGCAGCAATTTATTTTGACCAAGTGCTTGGTCAGATAATGTGTGTGTTTCAGAACCAATTTGTGCCCAGGTGGGGCAGGATGAAGTGGGGCTGGGTGGGAGAGGCCAGTCCCTACCCAGCTGTTTCTCAGCACAAGGTAGTTTCTGCTGTTCTCTGCTTTGGGTTACAGGTGCAAGTCAAAGCGGAAATGCTTTGCCCCTGCAGCTTTCTACAAGCCTTTTGGGGAAGAGGCTGCAGGGGCTTTGAGCTTGTCACAGTTCCAGGCTCTGCAGGAGAGTGACAAGGAAACTGCTTCTCTCCGGGAACTGGGGCTCTCGGATGCAGAGATCCTGCTCTGGAAGAACCAGGCTTCAACAGAGAAGGTGAGAAGCCTTCTACTGGGACCTGTATGTGACAGGTCTCTTCAGCCTTGTTTTGTCAGGTCTCACAGCACTTCTGTGGAAAACTCAAGCACTGTGTAATCCCTCTAGTAAGGAGTAGCTCCTCCATATGATCTCTTGTCTGATCCTACCAGTCTAAAGGTATTTCTTCTGGCCTGTTTTCTTTGATTAAAGGGTCTGTGCCAAAAGCTGTGACCGACAGAAAAGTCGGTTATTGGGAGCACGGCAGGACCTGGTTGGTCCTCAGCATCTTGAGGATGTTGAGTGAATCATTTCATGTGTGTAATAAAAAATATTTAAAAAGGGAGTAGGGAAAAAAGACTTCAAAGTGCACCCAAATCTCCTTTCTCTTTTCTGCCACTGCTGGATTCCATGGCAGGCTTAGGTGAGCTGTTTGTACGGAGGGTTTTGCATGTTCCTCCACCCAGGGAACAACAGGGCTGTTTGACCAAGCATGGCCATGACCTGCCCCTCTTGGGGTGCGGTTGGCAGAGAAGCATTACCAAGGGAAAATTTGCAGGCAGCAGAAGCAGCTTCCCTTTTTCCCTTCCTTTACCTATTTCTTTCACATTTCAGGGCAAGGGGCTTTTGGGATCAGTCTATGTCAAGTGCTCTGGAGTGTCCTCTTAAATTTGGTAAAGCAGAAGGTACAAAACAGGACTTAAACTGACCCTTGGCTTCCCTCCAACGCCTCTTGCTGAGCAGTAGCTATGTATGGAAGGAAGCAGTAAGTCAGTGGCAATCGTGGGTTTGCTTGTCTCCCGCTGAAGTCATTACTTCAGTATTTAAATGCAAACCCAGCCCTTGGAGCCTGCATTCAGCTTTGGGTTAAGGAGGTGGGTGGTTTTCCTTTAAAGTAAAAATTAATGCCAACAGCACAATCTGTTAAATTTGGTACGGAATCAGTGCAGAGATATTTAGAAATAAAAACCAGAATGGCAAACATTAGTCTGATAGAAAATCACGGACATTAGAGTGTACTTCCTACCACTCACGAGAGGAGAATAATATTTGGGGAGAAAACTCAAGTCTAGTAGACATTTGCAACCTTGGAGGTGGAGGTCCCAAAGGGAAATATCCTATTAAGGAGGAATTGGCTGAGACAGAGAGGACTGCAGCTGCTCGTGGAGCTCCCAGCAAGGTATCGCTGCAGGCTTTTCTTATTTACAGCTACTGAGTTGCAGCTCTTTTGAAAACAAGGTGCTGCAAATGATTTCCTAGAATTGCTTTTCCACATAAACTGCCCTTTGTGCTCCACAGAAGCTGTGAAACAGTGGATAGAAGCAGCGCAGATGTAGGCCAGTAGAGTCAGGAGGGAAGGAGAGAGGTACCCTTGGGAAAATCTCTGTTAGACTGTGATGTGTGGTGGGAGAAAGCCTAATCTCTTGCCTGAGGCAGAGGGATCTGCCACAGTAATTCTGAAAGAACTGAATGTGAATAAAGAAAATCCAGCCTTGGCCCCTAGGTGTTCTCTAGATTCTGAAAAAGGTTGATAGGGAAAAACAGAAATGCTCTTCAGATGCTTCCTGGCTGCACCCGCTCAAGTTGGAAGGTGTGAAGCCTCTGAGGGAGGCGTGCAGTGCGTCTGAGCTGAGCTGTGCCTGTCTTGCAGGGCTCGGGGCTTGGGGCAGCCCCTGAGGCCACGCAGGAGCGACTCCGTGCCATCCAGGAGAAGATGGAAGAGCGGCAGCGCATCCTCGCACTGCCCCAGAGGTTTGCTGGCAGCAAGCAGCTGAGCCGGCGGGAGATGGAGATCGAGAACGCGCTCTTCCAGGGGACGGACCGGCACTCCTTCCTCCGGGCTCTCTACCACCAAGGTATGTGCACCTGAGGCTGCTCCTGCCTTTGCTCCAACGGGGAGATTTGAGGGCTGTGGGAGTCCAGCACGTTTCTCTCTGGCCTAGAGACAGAATCTCTAGACTAGAGATTGTTTTCTGTGACTTAACAGCTGTCTGGCAAAAGCAGGAGGGAAGCAAAGGCACAGAGCAAACACTGACTTGATGAAGGCACCCCAAGTCAGTAGCACAGGTGGGAATAGAGCCCAATTGCTGATTCCCAGATGAGTGAGGTTCATGGGATGACACTCCCACTCATCCTAGCAGTGCTTAAAACATCCCAGCATATGATTTAACGTGACTTTTTGGATGGAGACTCTAGTATTGCCCAGAGAGGTTATAAAGAGCTCCTCCTCTCAAGCTGGGAAACGTGCAGAGGTGAAGCTCCTGCCCCAGCCGGTTTTGTGCATCAGACAGGGTTAAACAGATGACCAGGTGAGGCACTGCTCTGGTTTGGGCTGATGCTGCTCCATCTTTTATGTGCAGCTGGCTCCAAGGTCCTCTGGTCCCTGCTCCCTCTTCTGGTGTTACATCAGTGTTGCTGCAATTAGGAAAACCAAGAGTCAGCAAAGTTGAGGCTGGGAGAGCCCCATTTCATTTCTGTCCTCGTTTCAATTAAATATAGTAAAGGACATATCTTTGGCCCATCCCTGATATGGACTTTCCTTAAATCCATTAGCTTAACATGGTGGTGTCTCTGGAAGCAAAATGCCAAATTAAATCAGCATAGTACATCCTGGCCATGCAAGAGGAAGAGGAAGGAATTACCAGGCTGCTGAAATGTGGTTGTAGATAAGCTAATGAGACCATATGTAGAAAAATGAGTTCTGTGCAAAGCGCTGGTGGAGCTGCTCCTCTCTGCAGGTCTGTCCTGAGTCAGTAAAGAGATAATTGATCGCTCTTGGGGCTGCTCTTCTTATTTTAAGTGATCTGCAGATGGAAGATGGCAAGTGCATGGAGTTTTGTCTAGAATAGGACTTTTCTTGGGGTCCTGTCTGTTTCTTCTCGAATTCTTTGGGTTTTTTTTTTTTCAGGTGGTTGTTGGTAGTAATATTAACATATTTCTTTGTGGTGGATTAGATGACACTCAGAAGAGTACAGCAAACGAAAAGGACCCCATGGTTCACCTGGAAACTGTTTATCAGGAGCTGCTGAACAAGCAGTTGCCTGAGCAGCCACAGCCTGCGAAGTGTGATCCACGCGTGCCGTTTTCTGTGCCCCGAAAGGAGGCCACGGAGGAGACATCACTTCCTCAGCAGGGAGAGCAGGCAGAGCAGGAAATAAGTCCCAGCCTTCCTGCAGCAAAGCCTCCTGAATCTCCACTTAAGCCTGTGACTATAAAAGAGCCTGTGGAGTTTGTTTCAGAAGAGGAGATCTGTAAAAACAGGCTCTCGGAGGAAGAGATCCGACGTATTCCCAGGTTTGCCTCCTACCATCCTGGGGAGCCCAGCAAGGTATGTTGAGATGTAAGCAGGATGTGTTCATCTTCCTAGCCGGCACGTCCGAAAGCCCCTTCTGCAGGCAAAGGTCCCTCTTTGCTATTGAATGCTTGTTGCCTGCTTGATCCTCCCGGCCCAAGGGAGCAGCTTCTGCTATGGGAGACAAGGGGCCCCCGGAGCCCCGCACCCTGCCTGGCAAGGCTGCACTTCAGAGCCCCGTGTGACTGAGACCAGCCATGCCTTCGTTCAACCTGTGTTTAACTGGTAAACTGGTACCTGGAGCTTACGATGTTCTATAAATAACTGGCGCAGTCAGCAACTTGCACAGAGACAGCATGATGGTGCCTCAAGTCCAGCACTGCCTGTCTCTACCCACCTGCCTTCATCTTCCAAACTGTTAGTGTCAAGGGGAAGAATAGACTCTGGGGTGGCAGAGGGACCAAACTAATTAATTGCTGTGGGGTGCATAGGCTGGAACTGAGTTGGAGGGCAGTCTGTTTGCATGGTGCAGGCTGGCTAACCCTTTTTCTTGGGAATAGGTGCTGTATTTGAAGAACCTGGGCCCTCGAGTGACGATGAAGGACCTCGTGTCCTTGTTTGCTCGGTTCCAGCTGGAGAACAACCCACCAGTCCAGTTCCGCCTGCTGAGCGGCCGCATGAGGGGCCAGGCTTTCATTACGTTCCCTGGTGAGTTGCTCCTTGTGTCTCGTAGTCCTTTTCTCACTCATGAAGGTGCCACCTCCGTGCCACGGAGTGCTGTGCTTGTCCCAAGCCAGTTGTCCATGGAGCAGGAGGTGAATTCAGTCCCTTGACTGAGGTCCATCAAGACACAGGGGATGCAGTCTGTTACGGACTGTGTTCCCTGTCACTCTGGCTGGGTGATTGCAGCCCTGCAGTCATTCTGGTGGTGACTTAGGGTCTGAGATCCAGGAATGTCTGTGCCCCCATCACATGTCCATGCCGGAACTTGTTGGATTTATATTGAAGCTGGTGACATGTAACCTGAGCCCATTTTACTCTCGTTGCAGATATTCAGGCAGCACAGAAGGCAATGCAGCTGGTGAACGGGTACAATCTGCAGGGGAAGCCGCTGGTTATCGAATTTGGGAAAAACAAGGGGCATTCATCCGAGACTGGCTCTGCCGCCACCTCCTCCAGTGCCGGAGAGAGCCCCCCTGGCAAGTAAGGGATGGATAAGCTGGGGACCTTGCAAATTTGCACAGGCCACAGGATGTCCGTGGTCACAAGTGAGGGCAGTACGGGACTGCTGGAAGCTGTTGTCCAGGTTTGAGTGTCCAGGTGGGGAAGGTGGCGAGCAGGAGAGGAGGCTCTGAGTGAGCGGGGAGAGCGAGCGCTTTGCAGCCAGCAGGGAAGCTCAGAGCAAGGGTGGATAGGGCCTCCCACAGCACAGACTGTGGCTCGGCCCTGCCTTGAGGGCACCTGAGGAGTTTTGTTGTGGGGGGACCTGGGCTGCTGGGTGCCCCTCTCTGTACAGCCATAGCTCTGTCTGTGTTGTTAGTGTGTACGGGCTTTTCCACCTGGTGTGCGCTTCAGCCCCCCTCAGCCTTGCGCAGGAAGGAGGAGAGGGGAAATCACTTGAATAAATGCACTTGCCTGGTAATTTCCTTGGTATGTGTTTATTTGCCTTTGTCCAGTGCAAGTGTTGCACTTGGCAGGATTGTGTGAGCAGAGTTCAGTTCCTGGCGTTGGACGTACTGGGAGCTGGAGATCCTTACTGGTGCAGTGACTGCTGAGGCTGCTGTCCAACCTGACAGGAGACCTGGTGTTTTGTAAGGAGAAAGGAATGCTGCCCCTTGCCTTGACTTCTCAATATTAACCTCTAAAAGCCCTGTAGCGTGGAGGATGGGAGCTCTTGGAAGAAGCCATGCGGCAGTTCCATGCTCTCTGTGAGCAAGGCAAGCGGCATCATGTGCTTCCCACATTTTTCCTTCTGTTCCTGGGAAAGCAACATTTGAACTCTTATTGTTTGAGGGGAACCAAGTCTTTCCCAAGAAGACTGAGTTGCAGATTTCCTTGGCATGTTAAATCCAACCATGTGGAGAAGAGACATTCCCAAGAAGAGTCTTTTTCTCCCTGATGCTGTCTCCCTGCCCTCTGCTTGACTCCTTTTGCAGTTGTCCTTCTTGGGAATGCACAAAGTGCATAGAGCTTACGTGTGGATGGGGACGCTGGCGGAGACTTGATCTCCTGAGGAGATTGCTTCAGGGTTGGAGCAAACTGAAGAGTTAGAGCCCTCATGGGGCACAGGCGATGTTTGGAGGCCCCATGGCACTGTGGCATACAAGCAGCCCGGAGCAGCCTCGGGCGGCAGTTGGGAGTGGGCATTCGGCGGGCTGTATTCCAGGAGTTGTGTCTGGGCGTCTCCGCGGGGCTATTGAGCATCTCCGTGGGGAGGGTTCTGGGGCCGAGTTCTGCTCGCGCCGTGCCAGCTGGGCACGCAGAGCCCCCGCCATGGCCCTGCAGCCGGGCACACCGCTGCCCCAGGTAGGCCTGGGGGCCCCGTCCTGCCCTGACCCCACGCTCCGGGCCAGCTGCGGGGAGGCTGGGGCCTTGGGCACTGCCTGCCCGCTTGGGCTGGGAGCTTCTTGGGCTCTTGTCCCCTGGGGCACCACTGGGGACTCCTCTCGGGCAGCCCCACTGGAGCCCCCGCCATGGCCCTGCAGCCGGGCACACCGCTGCCCCAGGTAGGCCTGGGGGCCCCGTCCTGCCCTGACCCCACGCTCCGGGCCAGCTGCGGGGAGGCTGGGGCCTTGGGCACTGCCTGCCCGCTTGGGCTGGGAGCTTCTTGGGCTCTTGTCCCCTGGGGCACCACTGGGGACTCCTCTCGGGCAGCCCCACTGGCGGGGTCCCTTTGCTGGGGGTAGGGGAGAGGGAGGGAGAGGGGCCTGGGCTGGGGCATGGGGGTGGCAGCCACGGGTCCCTGGGCTTTGGGGGGCCCCTCGCAAAGAAGGTGGGAACATGGGGACTGCCCGAGGGTCGCTGGTGAATCGGGGCAAGGGGGTCGACGGTTGCCCCTGCCGAGGGGGCAGATGGCGACGTGAGGAGGGGGCGCGGAGG